TTTATGCCTATTTTACAGTAAAAAGTAATTTGAGATTTGTTGTGTATACGAGCATAGAGTTATTTTAAATGAAGTGATAATATGTATGAACTTAAAATGTTAAGTTTTGAAATTAAAATTAATCATCTTAAAAATTTCCGTCAGGTCATGACGCTTATTATACGAAAAAGTATGCTAAATATTCAAAATAACAACACCCATAATCTGATTTATTTTTTTGCAATTCCCTAGACTGCAGTTTAAAAGTTAGTCTTCAATTGATAGGAAACAAATAACATTTATTTTTGCAATTGACTTTCGATTTGGAATCATATATAGCGATTTTCCTATCATAATTGTGATTTGAGTATATGCGACCTATATAACAAACTGATTAAAATAATTTATTTAGTTAATAATAAACAATTTTAAATGCGATTACTATCATCTATTGACAACAATATGCATTAAATAAATTTAAATTCTATTTGATAATTTTGATGATTATACAGTTTTTGTGTAGTCCAATTTATGTTAATAGGTAATAGTCGGGAATCGGAAAAATATATTAAACAAATGTTTGAAATTTTGAAATAAAAATACATATTGTTATTGCATCCATATTATGCATTTTAGAGGTTTTTGGCACGTTTTTCAATCGAATTGACTGACTGTAATTTGGTGTTTTACGTTCTAATTTTATGAATATTGTTCTATACAGAAAAAAATCAATGAATATTTTTCATATTGTACATGTACCTCGATTCGAAACAAGTAAAAATTCTTATAATCATGAGTATGCCACGAACAAAGAACAAGAAAATGTAAACATTTCATTAATATCAAACCAATGTTCCCACTTCTGCTCTACTTTACCACTATTTGCGCTCATGTTTCCTCTCTTAATTTTGACAAAAACAAATGTATTGCTCCCAAGAAAAAACACACACACCACACCATTCATTGTTCGGTTGTGTTTTGTTTTGGTATTGTGTCTGTCTCTCTCCTCACTTAAGTGGACCACACACGTCAAACATGTGCGTTCGATCGGTGTGAAGCTCCTAGCCACACACGTCAAACGGATCCACAAAACTTCATTTCGTATTTATTTTTGAAGCGTGAAGATGGACAGCGATTGTGATGACGGAGAAAGATCAAATATTTTTATTTAATATAAATTTATTAAATACTTATATATTATTACGGGAAAAGTATTTTTAAAAAAACATCAAAAGAATTCTTCCAAAATATTTTTTGCATATTTTTGACATTGTCCGCTGATCCGCACTCCACGAAATTTCACAAAAAATGAGAAAATATCCACACACCAGGCCACAGACGTCAAACATGTGCGCGTCGCACAACGAAAAATTAAAAATTTTTAATTTCTTTCCATCGGTGTGCGCACCGCCAAATATATGTACAGCTATATCTAAATCTGAACCGTTTTTCTCGAAACTTGGCAGACATCATTCTGGGCTCAATTCAGTACGTTATGCCAAAGATATATAGGGAGTTTGGTGCACCATTTACATGAAATCGGACGAAACTATATATGGGAGCTATATCTAAATCTGGACCGATTTTCACGAAACTTGCCAGACATCATTCTAGACTTAATTCAGTACGCTGTGCCAAATTTCAAGCAAATCGAAAGATATAGAGGGACTTTGGAGCACCATTTACCTTAAATCGGACGAAAATATATATGGAAGCTATATCTAAATCTGAACCGATTTTCTCGAAACTTGGCACACATCATTCTGGACCTAATACAGTACTCTATGCCAAATTTCATGCAAATCGAAAGATATATAGGGACTTTGGTGCCCCATTTACCTTAAATCGGACGAAACTATATATGGGAGCTATATCTAAATCTGAACCGATTTTCTCGAAACTTCACACACACGTCATTCTGGACCTAATTTAGTACTCTGTGCCAAATTTCATGCAAATCGAAAGATATAGAGGGACTTTGGTGCCCCATTTACCTTAAATCGGACGAAACTATATATGGGAGCTATATCTAAATCTGAATTGATTTTCTCGGAACTTGGCACACATCATTCTGGACTTAATTTAGTACTCTGTGCCAAATTTCATGCGAATCGAAAGATATAGAGGGACTTTGGTGCCCCATTTACCTTAAATCGGACGAAACTATATATGGGAGCTATATCTAAATCTGAACCGTTTTTTCCCAATTTCCATAGGGTTCGTCCTTTGGCCAAGTAAGTGACTTGTGCCAAATTTTATCCAAATCGTATTATAAATGCGACCTGTACTTTGTTTACAATTTAACATCTACAGACGGACAGACGGACGGACATGGATAAATCGACTCAGAAAGTGATTCTATGCATATTCTCAAAAGAAACCATGAGTCTTTCTCGTTTCCTTTCGCTTGTTACAAACATATGCACAAAGACATAATACCCTGTACCACAGTGTGGTGAAGGGTATAAAAATGTAAACATTTCATTAATATCAAACCAATGTTCTAATTTTTTTCTCTTTAAATTTTGACAAAAACAAATGTATTGCTCCCAAGAAAAAAAAAACACACACACACCACACCATTCAATATTTAAGCCATGTCTGAGTTCGGCATTCCTGCAAAATTAATACGACTATGCAGGATAACTTGCACAAAGTCAGCAGCTAAAGTCGGAAAGGATCTCTCGGAGCCCTTCAATACCGAACGAGAATTCAGACAAGGTGACAATATGTCCTGTGATCTTTTTAACATCATGCTGGAAAAGGTCATACGAGAGACAAATTTGAACAGAAATGACACTCCAAACAGCATATGTTACTCACCTACGCTGATGACATCGACATAATGGCTCAAACATTATGATCGGTAACAGCCACCTTTAAACCAATTGCGAAGGAGCCTGCCAAAGTCGGACCAGAAATAAATGGCGAGAAAACCGCCGAAGACGTCCACTAGACTCGAACAAACTGTGAAGCATGAAAACTACATCTCGATCTCAACGATTTTATATACATCGATAATAAAATTAATGACATCAGGATTGAAATTCAGAGATTGACCAACAGATGCTACTATAGACTGAGTAAGAAAGAACAAGGCCACCTCACGCCAGACCAAACTCACACTCTACAAGACAATGATACTACCCGTGCTAGTGTATGATCTGAATCTACATGGGTACTTTCGAAAGCAGATGAGTCAGCTCTTGGAGTTTTTGAGAGAAAAATTCTCCGCAAGATCTATGGGTCGATCTGCCTCTACGGTGAATATCGCCGTCGATTGAACCACGAGTTGTACCATCTATAATTGGACGTCGACATAGTCAGACGTATAAAAAAGTTATATATTTTTATACCCTTCAACACACTGTGGTACAGGGTATAATGTATTTGTGCATATGTTTGTAACAGGCAAAAGGAAACGAGATACACACATGCTTCCTTTTGAGAATATGCATAGAATTACTTTCCGTCCATCTATGTATTTTTGTGAACAAAGTACAGGTCGCATTTATGATCCGATTTGGATAAAATTTAGCATAGGTCACTTATTTGGCCCAAGGACGAACCCTATTGAAATTGGGAAAAATCGGTTCAGATTTAGATATAGCCCCCATATATATTTTTGTCCGAATGTAAATGGTGCACCAAAGACCCTATATATATTTCGATTTGCACGAAATTTGGCACAGAGTACTGAATTAGGTGTTGAATGATATGTGTTCTTTTTCATGAAAATCGGTTCAGATTTAGATATAGCTCCCATATATATTTTCGTTCGATTAAATGTAAATGGTCCACCAAAGTCCCTATATATCCTTCGATTTGCACGAAATTTGGCACATCGTCATGAATAAGGTATAAAATGATGTGTAAAGTTTTCTGAAAATCGGTTCAGATTTAGATATAGCTCCCATATATATTTTCGTCCGATTGAATGTAAATGGTCCATCAAAGTCCCTATATATCATTCGATTTGCACGTAATTTGGCACAGCATAAGGAATTTGGCCTAGAATGATGTGTGTTGAGTTTCTTGAAAATCGGTTCAGATTTTTATATAGCTCACATATATATTTTCGTCATTTTAAATGTAAATGGTGCACCAAAGTCTCTATATATCTTTCGATTTGCACGAAATGTGGCACAACGTAATGAATTAGGTCTAGAATGATGTGTGTTAAGTTTCTTGAAAATCGGTTCAGATTAAGATATAGCTTCTATATCTGACCAAATGAAAAATTTAGTATCGGTTGCAGAATGACATGGTTATGGATCCAATTTCAATTTACTAGTCCTTTAAAAATGCGAAATGAATATACCCAAAGTGGTGAATGGTATCATATAGTCGGCCCCGTCCGACTTTACTACTTTCCTTACTGGTTCAAACTTAAATCAAGCCAGAGGGTGGAACTCATTGGTCCACGCCTACTGGGACCACTTGAAATGTTAGATTTTGTAGTTCGTAATACTTTTACCGAACTTAGATCTTCCCACAAATGATCAACATTTTAAATACTTGTAATTTCAATTGTAATTTTTACGTAACCTAAATGGAGTCTATAGGGCAATTCTTCCGGTACCTATCCACAAATGGCTTTGATAAAAAACATACCTTAATACGACTATTTATGACAAATATAGATGTAGGTAATAATCGACTATAACTTTGTTCAAATGCATTAAAAAAATCGACGAAAAAGAACCGGGTTTTGAAATTTAAATTTTTGAACCGGATATTTGGATAATAAAACCGATAATAGCCCGGTTCAAAAAATTTTTTATGTTTTTTTTTTCTAGCATTCTAATGTTATGCATATAAAGCATTGACACAGGTTCTTTTTTCCTCGATTTTTTTAAATGTATTTGAACAAAGTTATCTAGATATAGATAGATATTAGATATGGGGTGGGAAATTTCACTGTCAATATACCTTTGGAGTAGGATAGAAACATTTCGGACCAGCCGAACTTAATGCATATTTCACTGCGTAAAATTTATTAAATCTCTGTCTCTACTTACCACTGTACTTTCTCTGGTATTCAAAATCGTATCCTTGTTTTCATCTTTATCTGGGGTGAAACTTTGTTTCTGACGTGATGGAAAGAAACGTGTAAAACAAGCCATGTTTGTTGTTGTTGTTGCTGTTTTCGATATCCTTTTGCTCCGCTGTTGTTGTAACTATTGTTGGTGATGTGGATCGGTCACATGTATTATCCTCAATTTTATTATTATGATTTTATTTGGTTTTGCTTTAATAACTTAATTTATTGGATTTGTGTCGAAGATTATCTCTTTGATTTGGCCATAAATTTTATTTTTTCTGATTTCGTTGCTGGTGTTGGTGTTGTTGTTATTTCGTGTTTTCTCATTCATCACTAATCGTGTTTATCATTTGGCTTTGTTTGTGTTTTTTGGAATTAGACGCCATTGTTGTTGTTGGTGTATTTTTTATTTTATGGGTTATATTCACAATGTTTGGAGTACATATCAGGAACACAATGTTAGTGGAACTGGAGAGGGAAAAAAATTGGTAAATTGAGTTACACGCTCAGACCACAACAACAGAAATAAATAAAAAGGGAACGGGGTAACAATAAATGTGATGTGATATGGTAGCCTAGTAGCAGTTATAAATTTGGGGGGATTTTTTTCGAACTGCCGGGTGCGTGGCAAGATTATATTATATTCAATTGTCCGCATAATTTTTCTGTATGCTGGAGGGGGGTGTTAGTTATTCAAATTTATGTTTGGTTAATTATGATAAATATATTTAATTTTCTCTGTCAAGGCTATCCAGTTAAATGCGGTTAAAGGCTGTGGGGTTGGACAACACTGAAGGCTGAAGTGTTGAAAACATCACATGGCCTTATCTTGGCGCATAGCTGTTTGAATAAAAATTGACGAAAAACGTTTTGGCAAGCAATTTTCTTATCTGAACAGCTCTTCAATAATTTGTTCACAAAAAAAAAAAAAAAAAAAAAACGAAACAAATTGATTAGATTTTTATATTGGCTCAGACACACACACGAGCACACATACATTGAGAAGCGGAGAGAAACTCACTCACAAATTAAAGTATTAAATAGTTAAATAATAATAGTTATTTGATTTGTTTTGAGGTTTTTTTTAATGTTTTGGACGTATTATTAAGGGGAATGGAAAATGATATGGCCTTTAGACTTTGCGGAGCAACACCTTTCGATTTCTTAAAGAAACTGAAGTCATTTTATTTTTTAATAAATTTCAATGGATATTTCCATTTTATTTTTTTTATTTTTTTTTTTATCAACGAACAACGTCAATGTGTATGTGGTTTGTCATTTTAATATTTCATCAGATTATTTTGTGATGATGATGATATTTTTAGTTTTTGTTCAGGCACATATTTTTCCCCCTATATATTGCTGCACTTTTCTTATTCACCTTTATTTTTATCTTATTTCATTTATTGCAACCACACAGACCTCTTCTGGCCTACCAACATTTTATGTCATTCTATATTTTTTTATTATTTTCTTCTCTTATCAGTCATTGTCTTTTAATCTTTGACAAATATGTAACATGTCTCGGGGCTGATGTGTCGTAGCATTTATCTGTCTGTCTGCCTGTCCGTCCGTCTCATTGAGAACGTAATTCGCTTCTTGTCATTTGTATTGCCTATACCTTTCTTGGTAATACGTGTTTATTTTTTTCTATGATTTTCTCGTTTATAGGTAACTCGGTTCGTATCGAAAACTTATCTAGAATTGTTGAGGGAAATAATAAAATGTACTTTTTTTGCTTTGCTTGATATCATTAAAAAATACTCTAGAGGAATGTCAACAAATTTACGGTGATTTTTATGAGTTAATTGCAATGAAATTAAAAACAAGTAACAATGTCGTTAGGATTGATCGGAACGAATTTCTTTTACCCTGCATCATGAGAATATGTGGACATTCAAGTCGATCAGTAATTTAACATTGGTACTATTACATGGTAAATTACTGTTAAAAAAACGAACACAGGCTCTAAGGTTGAAAAATCCTTAAAATACCAAAAAATTTGGTTGATAAACAAAAATGTCATATTTGGTAGGGAACACAAAAAACTTGGACCAATATTCACAATTTATTATATTAAAATGAGACTCCAAAAGATATTAAGAATATTTTTCGAAGGCATATCCGAATTTGTAAATTTGCATATCCGATATTTAGGTGTGGATTTTAAATGAATATTCTTTCAAGTAAGTTCCGTTAGGAATTACAATATACTAAAGAGATGTTGCAACCATTTTATTATTTTTAATATACATTTCACATTAGGGAAAATTGTATTTTACAGTGAAATTCTCATTGAGAACAATTTCGGATATTATAATGAATTATTTCTGAAATTCTCATAAATGTATATTATTACGTGTATAGATTATAGGTAAATTCCACTGTACGGACGCAAGTCGTTTCTATAAATATACCATTCAAAGCTATTGTGAACATATTTACGTAAATATACTTTTTAGTATAAATTCACCTGTGTCAATAATTAGGCAGCAACGAAGTGTTTCATAATACTGCTGTCAAATTAAAAATATTCAGTGTTGGGAAAATGTGTCTATTTTTTAATATTGGGCAATGATACACATTATATATTTCTGTTTTAAAATGTGCAGTATGTAGTTCCTAAGAAGCAACAAGTGAAAAATACATTACGTTCGGCCGGGCTGAAGTTTTGATACCATTCCATTTTAATGAAGGTACTATGATACATCATATGATGTGTGAAATGTGGCTAAAAGCAAAAAAAAAAAAAAAAAAATACTGACGACTAGAAATACTACATTTTCATGGTAAACTTTCTTTAAAATTCCACAAGAGGCTTCTAATGTGCTCGTATTGATCGTAATATAAAGGATATACCAATATGTGTACCTATACATACGACTTTTCTAAACAATTGTTGTAAACCACAATCAACACGAAATGCTAATTTCAGAAACTTGTAATGAGTTCTTTCCCCAAAACCTCAAAATATGTACCTATATTGATAACGCATGGTAGAGTAGAACAAGTGTCTGAAATATATCTAAAGAGAGACCAGTATTGATTACATGTGGTAAGAAATACCGAATAAGGAGGGTGGTGTATAATTTTTTGAGGGTCGATGCCTTAATGTGAACCGATATAGCTCATTTTCGAAACTGACTTTTCAGTTCTGAATTTTGATACCCTCCGAAGTTAGTTTGATAGCAATATATGTACAGACGGGCAGAAATGACTTAATTTTCATTGAATTCCTTACTTTACAGGATATAAACGGACAATTTCGAGTTCAGAATGGGGGCAACCCTTAACATTCGAAACAAAGAAGTTAACTATATATACTAATAAATGAGTAAAGTTTCATTTCATCAACGTCCACACGTAACGGCTAGAGATAGAATCTTGAAATTTGGAGTGATGGTCACTCTTGGTCCAAAGGGGTCAGATATGGATGAGTTTTTGTAAATTCGTTGCTAAATGTGGTACCATTTGTATTGGGTGAACCGGTGCGGATAGAACTTTGAAATTTGTTTGGGTGTAGGAATATGGTATGTAGGGAATTTTGAAAATTCGTACTAATGTGTACTATATGGTATCAAATTTGGGTGAACCGATAGAGCTGGAATCTTGACACTGAACTATATAGGAAGTTTTTGGAATTTCTACTAATGTGAAATAAACTTTGAACAATTTAAATTTTGCGTGAACCGATGTATGCATTTTTGCAAATTTGTACTAAATGGTAACAAATTTAGATTTGGGTGAACCGATAGAGCTAGAATCTTGAAATTTGATGCTAGGATAACTGTTGGCGTGTAGGATTGGGCTATGTAGAAAGTTTTGAAAATTCATACGAATGTGTACTAAATGGTACCAAATTTGTATTTAGGTGAACCGCTTGAGCTGGATCACTGTTGCGGTGTTGGATTGGGATGTAGGAAGTTTTGGAAATGTCTACTAATGTGTACTAAATGACACTTAATTTGGCACAATTTGGATTAAAATTGAACCCTGAAATTTGGTAATATGATTTCCATTGGACTGCATGATCAGGTAGTAATGGAAATTTGTACTTTGTACTAAATACTACTAAATTTGATACAAATTGAATTTAGGTGAACCGATAGAATGCTGAAATTTTGAATAAAGATTGGGGTATATGGGAAGCGTTGGAAATTCGTATTTATGATTATTACAGTAGGTAGCTATGGACATTTATATTAATGTTTACTAACTGGTACTTAATTGGGATTTAGGTGAAGCCATATTTGAAATTTGGATTTTTTCAATCAAAATAAGCACTACAAGAGTACGAAGGGTAAAAAATTACACCAAATTTAGTATAAATCCAGATTTCTGTTGCAGTCAGAACTAGTGTGTAGGGTTTGGTAGGCCAATTTTTTACCAAATGCCAAATTTTAACTAATTCGATTGAAAAACGCCCAATTACCGACAATTTGGGCTATCATAGGGGCTATCAAAAAATTCGAAATTGCAGCCAATGTTATCGAAAATCTGGTATCCTTATATGGGGGCTACCCCCAAGTGGAAAAGTGGAACATTTTTAGTGTGGGGATTTGGTACTCAATAAAAACACAAAGAGCGGAATTGCAGCAAATTTGAATGAAAAACTCGCTCAAAAATCTTAATATACCGAAATGTTGGATGTACCGTTAAGTGGGGCCTTTTCCTAAACAGACAAAATACAACTCTATGCAAAATTTTTCCATTTATCTCAATTCGTTTAGAGTGATTACAACAAACTGACATATCGAAATCGTCATAAATCCATTCCACTGATTTTAGGGTTGGAAGTGATTATTTCGATGAGTTGCAAATGCCTACCATACTATGGCGTAAGGATCTTTGATCTGAAAGTCTACACTATTTTCATCTTGATGGGCTCACAAAAAGAATTCGATATCATGGTTTGTAAAATTGTTGTATCATACGGCAACGGTTAAATCTAATTTAAATGTCCTCAAACGAATTTAATCTTTATTCTTTAGCAGAATAAATTCACAAGTCGATTTAACTATGACCGTATGTCTGGATCTCATTGGGAACCAAGAACTTTGGATTTACACGAAATTGTGCGTA